TCCCCTCCTGCTGCTTATCCCTTCCCCCACTGCTCCCCCTCAATTCCCCTCCTGCGGCTTATCACTTCCCCCACTCCTCCCCTTCATTTCCCCTCCTGCTGCTTATCACTTCCCCCACTCATCCCCTTCATTTCCCCTCCACCTGCATATCACTTCCCCCACTGCTCCCCTTCACTTCCCCACTTGCTGCTTATCACTTCCCCCACTCCTCCCATTCATTTCCCCCCCTGCTGCTTATCACGTCTCCCACTGCTCCCCTTCATTTCCCCTCCTGCTGCTTATCCCTCCCCCCACTGCTCCCCCTCACTTCCCCTCCTGCTGCTTATCACTCCCCCCACACCTCCCCTTCATTTCCCCTCCTGCTGCTTATCACCTCCCCCACTCCTCCCCTTCATTTCCCCTCCTGTTGCTTATCACTTCTCTCACTGCTCCCCTTCACTTCCCCTCCTGCGGCTTATCACTTCCCCCACTCCTCCCCTTCATTTTCCCCCACCCCTTTGCTTTCTTCCACAGCCTTGTCTCCGGCCCCTACGCTTCCCGTTTCCCGTTGGGCATCCCTTGTTATCCCAACGAGAGGGAGTGTATTGCACCCCAAGACGGCTAGGCCGTGGTCTACCACAAGTGAGCTGCATACTTCCCCCTCTCTGCCAATCCATCCCCCCGTTACTGCCCTTCCCCGACTGCCATGCCGTTTCCCTACTGCCCTTTCCTTCCCTGTTATTGCCTTCCCTCCCTTCCCATTCCGGCTTCACATCATCCCTCCATTACTGGGTGATCGACACATTTTCCGATAGTAGAAAACGTCGCACGACGTTCTATTGGTCCCCACACCCATCGTTGCCATGGGTCCATCTTATCCACCACACTTCTTCCTCACCCCTCCATAGCTCAAAGTAGACTCACCTCCCACGCCACATGATCTATAGGTTATTTTTGGAGCCCTGCATGCCCCAACACTCCCATCTGCCCGCCCCTCCTGTGCCTTATTTCATGAGCCCGCCTTGACATGGTCGATGTGACCGCGCATAATTACAAGCCCGCCATCACAAGATCTCTGTCCACCTTCTATTTCGTATCATCCATTCCATCTCCGCCGCGCGGATTTGAGGCCCTGCTTTCCCCCTCCATTCCCTCCGCTGTCCAAACTACGCAGGACTCGTAACGGGAAGGGCACTTCATGGGGCATCCAAAGAAAATATCTGTGGAGTCATGGACAAAGAGGGTGAAGGAATTGGTGAAAGCAAAAGAACAGGGGAATCTAGCAATATTAAAGCACATGCAGATCCCTATTTGTTACTTGCGTTGTGGCTTGAGCACTTTGATGGGAGAGGGACGTACGGCGATGCTTTCAGACCTTGTGTACTTCCTGTTACACGCTGGCCCAGGGGCAACCGAGGCGCTTATGACCGCAGCAAAGAAGGCCGGTAAGTGACCATCTACTCATGGGCTGCCAAATTCCCAACATTGGTTTCGTCTATTAGCAATTACCACTGCAGAAAACGTGATCCAGAGCTCCACCATGCTCAAGATGGTGCCCTTTACCATTCATTCACCCAACGTACAGGTGCGGACGGCGATACGGCTGAGAAGGCAGTGCAAGGCTGCCTGGAAAAGTACGCTTGAAAGTTTCAGGGGGGGAAGGATCGCATGGCCGGCCGACCTGATGCCCTCGTGGGAGGACAGCCAGCTGCTATCAGGGGATTGGTATATGCGTTCCCCCTGGATCATGGGAGCGATGAGGAGACTCTACGACGCGACACCACCGTTTTCCGTCAGGGTGGGGCCCGTCGGGGTGCAGCATATGCTGAGCTAAAGCAAAAAGGTATGCGCTCCCAATCTACTTCAGCTACACTGCACATCTTGCAAAATTTCACCATGCAACATGGGCAGGTCCATTATGTCTAGCCTTCCCTGTCCACTACATCACTTCCGCACTCAGGCGTTGGGATTTCCCCTTTTTCCTTTCCATTCCTTCTCTGCCCCGTCCACCCCCGCCCCAGTGATGAGGCATGGCCATCGCACGTAATCAACCCTTTGGTACGGCGAGGCACACTCCATCAAACTTTGGCAGCTCACATAGTGTGTATGTTGTGTGTGACTTTTTTATCTGATCTCTATTATGTACAGCGGGAGAGGCCAACAGCGCTGCTGCCACGCCTACGGTTCGGGATGTTAGCGATGAGGAAGAGGAGCAGCATCACGTGGTGATTGAAATTGATGATGAAGTTCCGGTACAAGTTGGAGATGTCCAAGTGGAGGTCGATCTTGAGCTGGGAGGAGGGAGTGGGCCGCCCACTGCCACATCTGGCAAAGAGGACGGACACGCACACGACGTGTAAGTGAAATGAGAGGTGACGTACTGGAATAAGCATATGCACGTGAAATGAAGCGTAAGAGGTAGATCATCTACAACAATCTAACCCATGATGGGTTTTGCTAGGGCAAGTAGTACCCTAAAGCCCAGGCAGTCTTCACTCCCGCTTCAAATCCCACTCCACGACTCAATAACAGGTTATACACCCCATTTCTCCCACACATTAGGAACTCGCACGATTATGCGATACCGATCGAGACCTCGCCCGGGCGATGGCCGGCACTCCCAACACTTGACGGACTGCGGGATGTCGTGTGTTTGCTGAGCCCAGTGCACATCATTCGGTTCTTCGTGGTGGTGACGCTGCATTGCACCATGAGCGGTGGATGTGGGGGCTCGATGCGGTTGCGCTCCTGGAAACTGTTGTGGGCGGCATTTGGAATGGTTTGGACCTGTGATAAGTGTGGAAAATCGACATCGCTGTTGTCGGTGGATCGTCAGCCATTGGGTTGCACGACCGACAAGCCAGGAAAAAAACGTCTCCCGTTGTTACAGCGCTTCCTTGCGTCTTTTGCTCTAGCGGGGTTTGGGTATACTGCGCTATCGGAGGTTGGTAGGAATCTCGGTATACCCATCCCATGTAAGAGAACCTTCTACAGGTACATGAGTGGGGTAGGTGGGCTATGGGAGAAGATCATCGAACATGCCAACAAAAGCATGGAGGTGGTGCGTGCCGCTATGTTAGCTCGGCGTGAGCGTGGTTTTTGGTTGTGTGTTGACGGGAGGTGGGGCCAACCACGAGAGGCGGAATGGTGTAGTGTTGCATTTATGGATCCCAGGTCACGTAAGATACTTCGCTGTGTGACGGTGTCGAGATCCCTGCTAAAGGTATCGTCCACTGAGCTAGAGGGTCGGGCATTTTCTAAGGGAATAGAAGACCTGAATAATTGGGGGTTTCCGGTGAAAGGTATCATCAGTGACGACGGGGCGAGTTTCAAAGCCGTAATCATTAAGACAGACCTCGAGCACCAGATGGACGTGTGGCACAAAGGTCGTTCGTTATCACGGAAGTTTGTGAAGCACTTTGTGAATGCACGAAAGGCTGCATTATCCACCAAAGACGCGAGCACTGCTGAGGATCTGTGGGATGTAAAGCTCGATGATCTCAGGGCCTGGTTGCGAGAACGTCCAGGTCATGGCTTGAAGGGTCTACATAGAGCGCCAAAAAAGGAACTGATTGGTGCTGTTTGTCGTGTTCGGGGCTGGACTTTTGTGGATCTCTCCGGCGATAGCTCGTCGTATTTGTACCCAGAGATGCGTCGTGTAGCGTATGTGCGGAGTGGGCGCAGTAGAGGTTCGACCTGCACCTCGTCTGATGCCATGTCGGTTGGTCCTGATGGATGTTGCACGGTGGAGGGTTTGTCACGGGAGGTTGTGGATGTGCCTGTTGCACAATCTCAGCACATGGAAGGCGGGGATAAACGGGTCACGAATGAAGCGTTGAAAGGGTTTGTTGCGATTGATATTTTGGATGATGGTATTACAGAGAGTACGGCGGATCCAGGAGGGGTGGATTTACAGTACTCCGACGTGAGAGAGTTGTGGGGATACGATCCACATCCAGAGCATGGAGTGCGGCCAAGCTCTGTGGTGTCGTTCTTCCTCATGCAGGCAGCTGCGTCAAACCATGCCGATGCAACACGTGGCATGACGGGTGCCGCGACACGAACCAGCTCAACTTTGGGACCGCCAGGTGAGGCCTGAACATAGCTGGTCCTTGCAGTATTTGTGTTTCGCTTTGCTTACATCCACAGCTCTAGTTTGATGCAATACAAGGGCCTCTGCCTTGAATTACACAATACCAAAACCCCCATCCCAAATCTGTTGTTTCCTAAGGTACTAATGGTGACAGCACCACGGTGGGAGGTGAGGGCAACACTGCGCCGTCCGGTGGACCACGTCGCTGGGTGAATAAGCGACCCCGCAGTGGGAAGCGACCACACTTCTTCCTATCCCTCCACTCCCCATCCCCTCCTCTTCTCATCACCTCCTCTCCCTGCCCCCTCTTCTTCACATCCCCTCGTCCTCCTGTCCTCTTCCTGTCCCTTCCTTCCTCCATCCCAGCGCCCCTTCCCTCCATGTCCTCCCCTCCTCCTTCCTTATTCCTTCCTGCCACCCTTTATCATCCACACTTTCCTCCCCAGCCTCTCTTCCTCCTCTCCCTTCTGCTTCTCTCCCCCATGTCCTCCCTATCTCCCTTCTCCCCATCATCACTACCTCCCTCCCCCATTGCATTCCTCGCTTCCATCCTTCCTCCGATCCTCCTTTCTTCATTTTTACATTCCTCCCTTCATCATTTCTCAGCTGTCATTCTTTCGGATGCTTGCTTCCCTGCTACTTCACCCACGTCACATCTGACTTCCTGGTTTGTGTTCGCGCAGGTCTTCTCTGGATGTGGTTGTGATGTGTTGGCTGTTTGATACCAAACGACATATAGACGTGCCATGTATTGGATAGTTTTTTATGATACAGCATTATGTGCTTCAAAGCAGTTCTACACATGACAACTACTTAGGGGTCCAACAACCATTATACTAGTGATATTTGTACGGTACAAGGGGAATAACTCATTTTTATATAATAACAAATCTGGGGGGAATGTTATGTTGCTTCCCGGTTTTGTCCGCTACACTGCGATCAATATACCAGGCCGTGGTAAAGCCACAACATCTGCTGCTGGGCACATGTACCCTGCATTGGGGGATATGGTGAGAGGGGGGGAAGAGAGGAAGCAGTGGGAAGCAGAGTGAGAAGAAGTGAAGAGAGTGAGCAAGGGGGACGAGAGTGAGAAGAGAAGGGGGGGAGGGAGCACTGGTGAAACAGAATGAGCAACCCTAAACAAAGTGGTGGGGGGGAAGAGAGCGAGCTGGTTGGAAGATAGTGAGCAGAATGAAAGAGGGTGAGTAGCGGGGAATATAGTGAGCAAGGTGGAAAAAGAGGAGGGGGAAGGGTGTGAGAAGGGCGAAACAGAGTGAGCAAGGGGAAACATAGGGAGCAAGGGAATGGGATGGGAGAAGGGGATGGGGGGAAGCAGGGAAGGGGATGGGGAGAAGCACGGAAGGGGATGGGGGGAAGCAGGGAAGGGGATGGGGGGAAGCAGGGAAGGGGATGGGGGGAAGCACGGAAGGGGATGGGGGGAAGCACGGAAGGGGATGGGGGGAAACAGGGATGGGGATGGGGGGAAGCAGGGAAGGGGATGGGGGGAAGCAGGGAAGGGGATGGGGGGAAGCAGGGAAGGGGATGGGGGGAAGCAGGGAAGGGGATGGGGGGAAGCAGGGAAGGGGATGGGGGGAAGCAGGGAAGGGGATGGGGGGAAACAGAGAAGGGGATGGGGGGAAGCAGGGAATTGGATGGGGGGAAGCACGGAAGGGGATGGGGGGAAACAGGGATGGGGATGGGGGGAAGCAGGGAAGGGGATGGGGGGAAGCACGGAAGGGGATGGGGGGAAGCACGGAAGGGGATGGGGGGAAACAGGGATGGGGATGGGGGGAAGCAGGGAAGGGGATGGGGGGAAGCAGGGAAGGGGATGGGGGGAAGCAGGGAAGGGGATGGGGGGAAGCAGGGAAGGGGATGGGGGGAAGCAGGGAAGGGGATGGGGGGAAGCAGGGAAGGGGATGGGGGGAAGCAGGGAAGGGGATGGGGGGAAGCAGGGAAGGGGATGGGGGGAAGCAGGGAAGGGGATGGGGGGAAGCAGGGAAGGGGATGGGGGGAAGCAGGGAAGGGGATGGGGGGAAGCAGGGAAGGGGATGGGGGGAAGCAGGGAAGGGGATGGGGGGAAGCAGGGAAGGGGATGGGGGGAAGCAGGGAAGGGGATGGGGGGAAGCAGGGAAGGGGATGGGGGGAAGCACTGGTGAAACAGAGGGAGCAAGGGTGAAACAGAGTGAGCAACCCTAAACAAAGTGATGGGGGGGGGAAGGGAGCGAGCTGGTGGGAAGATAGTGAGCAGGGGGAAAGAGAGTGAGTAGCGGGGAATATAGTGAGCAAGGTGGGGAGGGGGAAGAGTGTGAGAAGGGCGAAACAGAAGGAGAAAGGGGGGAGATGAGAGGGAGAAGGGGGGCAAATGGGCAGGTGAATGGGAGGGAAACGAGAGGGGGAAAGGGGGGACATGCGAGGGAGCAAGGGGGCGAATGAGAGGGAGAAGCGGGGAGAAAAAGGAGAAGGGGGGGAAATGAGAGGGAGGAAGGGGGGAGGGGTAATGGGGAGACGGGGAGGGGAAACGGGGTGGCGGAAAGGGGAATTGGGGAGGCGGGAAGGGGAAACGGGGAGGCGGGAAGGGGTACCGGGGAGACGGGGAAGGGGAAACGGGGTGGCAGAAAGGGGAATTGGGGAGGCGGGAAGGGGAAACGGGGAGGCGGAAGGGGAAATGAGGAGGCGGGGAGGGGTAACGGGGATCGGGATGGGGAAACGGGGTGGTGGGAAGGGGAAACGGGGAGCGGGAAGGGGAAACGGGGAGGAGGGAAGGGGAAATGGGGAGCAGGAAGCAAAATCGGGGAGGCGGGAAGGGGTAATGGGAAGACGGGAAGGGGAAACGGGGGTGGCGGGAAGGGGAAACGGGGAGGCGGGAAGGGGAAATGAGGAGGCGGGAAGGGGTAACGGGGAGGTGGGAAGCGGAAACGGGGAGCGGGGAGGGGAAACGGGGAGCGAGAAGGGTCGACGGGGAGGCGGGAAGGGGAAACGAGGAGCGGGACGGGGAACCGGGAAGGCGGGAAGGGGAAACGGGAACGGGACGGGGAAACGGGGAGGCGGGAAGGGGAAATCGGGAGCGGGAAGGGGAAACGGGGAGGCGGGAACGGGAATTGAGGAGGCGGGAAGGGGTAACGGGGAGCGCGATGGGGAAACGGGGAGGCGGGAAGGGGAATCGAGGAGGCGGGGAGGGGTAACGGGGAGCGGGATGGGGAAACGGGGTGGTGGGAAGGGGAAACGGGGAGCGGGAAGGGGAAACGGAGAGGCGGGAAGGGGAATTGGGGAAGCGGGAAGGGGAAACGGGGTGACCGGAAGGGGTCCTGGGGATTGGAAAGGAGAAACGGGGAGGCGGGAATGCGAATTGAGCTGGCGAGAAGGAAGACGAGGCGGTTGCACGGGGTTGGAAGCTCCCGTTTCTGCTGTCGTTCGCGCACTCAAGTGCGGCTGCTGGGGCTAGTGCGGAAACGTGGTAGCGAGGCAGTCGCGATAGGGCCGCGACTGTGATAGTGCGTGTTCGGCTGTTTGAGACGACACGACGGACGACGAGGAGAGGCCGTGAGAGGAGGTACCGCGGGATCGCCGCGTGAAAGGGAACCACTGACGTTGGTTGAAGTCTATAATTACAAGAAAATGCCCCACGCATTTAGGTTTGTGACGAAAATTTGCAGAATTTGCGCTGGCTGTTGAGTCGATGTGCTTAGCTACGTAGCATGCCGGCTGAAGAGCGTGGTGGCGTAGATTTCACAAAGGCTCGATTTCGTATACTTTTGTCGATCCAAAAGTTTTGAATCACCAGCAAGTGCTGGGTGTCGGGGAGATCTCCCTCCCTTGTTCAGCGAGTGAACTTGCAGGTAATCGAGTTACCAATATTTCAAATTTCAAAAGTTTTGAACCTCCCTCTTTCAAATGTATACAAAAGCTGCTGAAACCAAAGTCCCCTGCTGATTCACGTCATGAATTTCCGCGAGTTCACATGAGGAATCATGGACACTCGTGTGAGAAACCGTTTCCCAGTTATAAAACGGATTTTACCGTTGATAAAACGGTATTTACCGTTTTGTACCTGCGTCGAAATGATCACGCTAAGCAGCGTGACTTTCGCGCGAAATCGGCTGTGTTCCAGGTCAGCGCGGGATTCGGTTAGTCAACCGAAATCCCGAAGCACCCCCGGTCAAGCGAGAAAAGCCGATCGCTGACGCGATCGTGCTTTGTCTCACGCGGGGCAGGGCAATCAATGCCCTGTTCTGTAGCGATCGTGCAACTGCGCACGATCGCAACAGTTGCGACACACGCGCGGGCCCTGAGGGGCCACACGCGTATGTCAGGACCCCACGCGCGGGTCCTGACTTTCGCGCACTTTTTGACCAGCGCGAAATTGGTCAAGGGTCCGAGACAAAGACTCGAGCCCAGCACCCCCCGGCACACTCGACACCCGCCACGAGCGCCCATGAAAATCCGTGAACTTTCATGAGCTTTCATGACGCTCGTAATTATCATGAACGCTCATAGTTGTTCATGAAAATTAGCGAACGAACATGAGTCGTCATGAGAATTCATGACTCGTCATGATCCGCCATGAATTGCCATGTGCCCACAACAAAAACACATGAAACAGAATGCAAAAACGAATGCACATAAAACACACACAAAATGCGGGCCTTCATGCAGGCGGCTGGTGTCGTGCAAAAATATTATTTGCACCCAACAAAGGGAACCGAATCTGCAACACATCCGCTTGCTAGTAAAAATCGTTACAGCATTTTGAACACATTTTCGTGCGCTTATAGGGGGTGCGCTTATAATCGAGCAGCGGATATAAGCGCCACACGCCAATTAAAAGCGCCAGGCGCTTATCCGCGGGTGGCGCTTATATCCGGGGTATGATGGTGCTGGTACAATGGCCCCGCTTTGTTATGAAGTGGTGCGATAGGGGAGAGCCTTCGGGAATGCTACAGTAACCTTTTGGTTGCACTGGAGTATATCATTGAGTGTTGTTGGGGCTCTGGCGCAGAGATAGTGTATTCACCAGTGTGGACGAGAAGGAAATTAGAACTACAATTCAAAATGAAAGAACTGTCAGAATGAACGGACTGATTTGATTGAACTAACAGTGAAATCAGTACAAGTACCTAACCCTAGAATTGTGTACCCCTTATAGGCTAACCCACTGTAGCCTAAATAACCACAACATATAAATAATGTTTGGCACACCCCCATAGGCAAAGTGGGGGAGAGCAAGGGGTCACAAGACCAGTCAAAGCAAAGCAAAACAAGCTCAGGGTGGATCTCAAGGATACCACACAAATTCTGAGCACAAGCAAGCGGTCACAAGACCAGTTCACATGCAGGTTGATAATATAGCAAGAGATACAGTGAACACAGCCTAGCAGGAGTAAACATGCAGGTATATATATACAGATCACAGTACAAGCAGAGTCAAGAGGTAAGTAAGTGAGGTCCAGCAGGCACAAGGCCCAGAAGAGTACAGAAACGCTGATGGTCACAAGGCTGAAGCGCCTTGGTGAACACATCAGCAAGGTTGGCCTCTGTGGCCACGTAACGCAGACGAAGCTGACCACGCTGCTGCAGCTCTCGAGAAAGGAAGTACCGCAGGGCGATGTGCTTCGTTCTGTGCTCCAGTCTGTGCTCCTCACACAAGGCAATGGCAGCCTGGTTGTCGACGTACAGCACTGGAGGAGAACGAGGCCACTCTCCCAAGTCGGTCAGCAGGTAGGTCAGCCAGCGTAGCTCCTGTGCAGCTATGGCTGTGGCGTAGATCTCAGCCTCACAACTGGAGCTGAGAACAGAAGAAGAGCGTGTAGAACGCCAAGAAACTGAGCCGGAGCCAAGGCTAAAGGTGTAACCCTGAGACGACCGCTGAGTAGCCTGGTCGTCCGCCCAAGAAGCGTCTGAGTGTCCAGTAAGTACAACTCGGTCTCGTCCTCCAAGCACTAGCCCCATGCCCGACGTACTGCACAAATAGCGCAACACCCTCTTAGCGGCATCCATGTGCTCCTTCCTGTGACGGCCAGGAGCGACATAGCGTGCAAGGATGCTAAGAGGGTATGCAAGGTCAGGTCGAGTGCAGGTCATCAGGTACATGAGGCAGCCCACAAGCTCTGGATACGGGCCACTCGGCTCTACGGACTCATCCGAAGGCAGAGCTGAGAGCGAGTGACCGGTAGGCAGAGGAGTGGACTGAGGCGAGGAGTACGTGAAGCGGAAGCGCTGAAGGATCTGCTGCACCATGTGTGACTGAGTCAAGGTGATGGTGCGCCGTGCTCTGTCCCGGGTGATCCGCAAGCCAAGATAGCTTGTCAGTTCACCCAGGTCTGTGCACGTGTGTCTCCTCTGCAGCTCCGACTTCACGTGGGCGAGTGCCGCGGTGTCAGCAGTGGCAAAGACCAAGTCGTCGACGTACACGAGGATGTAGAACGGCGGCAGTGAGGTGTCTGTGCGTAGAAACAGTGACGGGTCAGCAGTAGAGGGAGCAAACCCAAGAGCCGCAAGTGTCGTCCTCAGTGTGTCGTGCCACTCACGCGGTGCCTGGCGGAGACCGTAGACCGGCCGCTGGAGCCTCCACTGGGTACCAGGAGGAACCGACCCAGTGAAGCCAGGAGGGCGGCGCAGCCAGATCTCCTCGTGCAGGCTGCCCTGCAAGAAAGCAGTGCTGAAGTCAAGTGAATGAAGCTCGTAGTCGCGCTGAGCGGCTATGTGCAGCAGCACCCGAAGAGTGGTCATCTTCGGGGTGGGGGAGAAGGTCTGAAAGAAGTCAACTCCCTCTCGCTGACTGAAGCCTCGAGCCACGTAGCGCGCCTTGAAGACAGGAGGAGAACCCGGTGGCCGCTTCACCCTGATCATCCATATGCCACTGACGATGTTCGCCCCAGGTGGGGGAACCTCGTCGACGTAGGTGCCTGTGGACTTCCAGGAAGCCATCTCTGCGTCCATGGCTGTCTGCCACTGAGAGGAGTAGGGACCCGCCATCGCCTCAGCGTAAGTGCGCGGGGTCGGGATGTCTGGTGCATCCGGGTCTCCCTCAGGGGCAACTAGCATGGACACGAGGTGGGGTAAAGCAGCAGCAAAGCACTGGAACTCCTCCTGTCTGTCCTCAAGGACGTCCGTGCCAAGAGCACACTCACCCCCGACAGACGGAGGACAGACAGACTCAGACTCAGACTCAGCAACAAGGCTAGTGGCGTAGTCTAGACGACACCGGGCAGCAAAGTCTATCAACTCAGCGACCAGAGCAGACGCAGCAGAGGACTCAAAGGTAGGGTCAGTGACAACAGTAGCGAGGAGACGGGTGACAGTGGGACTGGCAGCACGACGGGAGTCAGACTCCGGATCAGGAAGAGTAGGAAGAGAGGACGCAGGAGGAGACGGCAGCGGAACACGCTGAGGAGCAGTGGAGGGACGCAGAGTCATGTAGTGAGTGCCAGGGACAGGAGGAGGACGCTCACGTGGGACACGACGACCAGTGCGAGCAGTACGAACAGGCGACGCAGGACGAGACGCAGGCTCACGACGCTCTGCAAGACCTCCTGTGGGACCAGTGTAAGGAGAGGGAGCAGGGAGAGGCGAGGCAGGCGGGAACTGTAACAACGACTGGACAGGCGGAGGACACTCTACGGAGGGAGGAGGACAAGGAGGAGGAGCCTGACCAAGAACCTGCTGAAGAAGTGGGACGAAGTACGGTCGCGGCCGCGCAGCGTCTCCAGAACCAGCAGAGACACCAGCGGCAGGGTCCTCAGCACCAGCAGCAGCTCCAACGTCCGGGTCCTCAGCACCAGCAGCAGCTCCACCGCTCGGGTCCTCAGCACCAGCAGCAGCTCCACCGTCCGGGTCCTCAGCTCCAGCAGTAGCTCCAACGCCCGGGTCCTCAGCACCAGCAGCAGCGCCACCGCTCGGGTCCGCAGCACCAGCAGCAGCTCCAACGCCCGGGTCCTCAGCACCAGCAGCAGCGCCACCGCTCGGGTCCTCAGCACCAGCAGCAGCCCCAACGCCCGGGTCCTCAGCACCAGTAGCAGCGCCACCCTCCGGGTCCGCAGCACCAGGAGCACCACTCCGAAGACTGCAGCGCCGCGTGTACCACTCTCGGATCTGCTGAATGGGGGGGAGCTCCTGGGCAGGAGGGGAAGTACTGGTACGAGCTCCAGTAGCACCTCTCCGGAGGCGGCAGTACTGTAGGTACCTCTCCTGCAGCTGCCGGGAGGAGAGGGCTCCTCCAGGTGTAGCACGCTCAGGCTCAGCACCCCCAGACTCAGCACCTCCAGGCTCAGCACCCCCAGACTCAGCACCCCCAGGCTCAGCACCCCCAGGCTCCGCACCTCCAGGCTCAGCACCCCCAGGCTCCGCACCTCCAGACTCAGCACTCCCAGGCTCAGCACCCCCAGACGCAGCACCCCCAGGCTCAGCACCCCTAGCAGGACGAGAGTCGACAGCCACCTCGACAGGCTCACCCGGGTCTACCTGGGACACACCTGAGGGAGCGGCACCCTGAGGGGGGAGGGGGTCTGGTACCTCAGCACCTGGAGCGAGGAAGAGAGGCGGGGGGGGGAGCGGAGCAGTGCGGTAGGGGAAGAGGCGGTAGTAGGGGACGGACTCGTCAAAAGTGACGTCCTGAGAGGCCAGGACACGACG